AGGAAACCTCAGATCTCTGCTGAGATAGGTGAAATTAGAAGTGAAGGTTTCTAATTTTGCATCACTGAATTTAATGGCAGCTTTACCATCAATTTAGATGAGTTGTTTGGAAAGAATTAGGGCTCTCCAATGTTAGACTTATTTCTTTGGGAGCTGCCAAGCTGAGATTTTGTGGGGGTTTTTCCCCCCATTCATTTTTATCTAACTGTTGGAAACACACAAAAAATAAAGGTCAGAGACCAGAACACAGGACTCAATCTAAACTCCAGTGGCATAAAGTTTTGATGCTCTGTTACTTAAAGGGCAATCATGGCTGTTACATTTAATCCATAGGAGAGATTCACATCTGAAGTGTTGCAAAATTCAATTGGAGATTTGCACTCCCTCTTGAATGCATGCACTCCATTTGCTGTAGTATTTAGGGCTTGGAAATAATAGATATGTATAAAAATACCTAAGTTTTATATTTATATTTTTCTAAAACATAAATACATAAAATATGTGCATCTGATCATCACTGACTGCAAAGGAAATGGGTGCAAATGGGAGCTCTCAAATGAGGCTGGGCTTGCTTCCCTGGAAAAAGCCACTTTGGGGGAATGCACACAAAAGCTGAAACTGTCAACTAGGGACTGCCAAAACTGTTTTCCTAATGTTTTGGACTTCCACATCTGTTGCAAAAACCTGACCAAGACACACTGAGAAACACCTCTGTGAGCTTGCCTAGGAATTGGGCACCACAGGGTGCTGGAGACACTTCCATGGGAGATTTCCCTTCTCAGATCTGGGACTGGGAGACATTGCTCATCTCAAATCTGAGCCAGGGTGCTCATCATTCTCAATTTCAAATGATTTCCACAAGGCACACCATGATCAACACCTCGGCAAATCAATTCTGTGAGTGCTATCACTGCAACCAACCCATGGATAAAGGCTGCTATCATGGCTAAGGCAGGTGGAAATCAGATTTTATAGCATCTGACTCCAGGTAAAAGACTATCAGCTGGTAACTGAACTGGTTCACAGACATTTATTCTTTTTTCCTTTTCAGCCGGCACTTACTACTCCAGGTACCATCAGTACCCAATGTATTTTGGGAACAAAATTTTATTAATGCAATGGAAATGCCACTGAGCTGATGTTATTTTGTATTTATTTGACAAAATGAGAAACATGCTGAACAGATTCTAGAACAAAGGAGAGGAAAATGTATAGATAGATAGATAGATAGATAGATAGATAGATAGATAGACACACATTTGTAATCTCAAATTGGACTTTATTTTGTTCTCTGTCTGTCTGTTGCTCAAATAGTTATGTTCAGAAAGCTCTGAAGTGAGCCACCTTTTCTATGGCAACAACACTAAGAAAAATGTTGAGTTTCCATGATCTAATTTAATTCTATTGATGTGATCTTATGGTAGCAATGATGCTTAAAATGTTCCAAGCTCAAATTGCCGTAGCATTTGCCTCCCACTGAAAGAATTTAGGTTTTATTATTTTATACTCACAGATGAAAGACTCTTATGATACCACTTTAGAGTATACTACAAGCATACAATTGCATTAATAGCAGGTCAGGTTCTAATAACCTTAAAATGGAAAAGGAACACTGCTGAGAGATGGGGTATCTGATAGGTGTGGGGGATTTATAAGAAATACCTCGATGAGCAGTCGCTTTCTGTCACAAAACATGCATAATCATCACTTAGAAATACACAGCTCTGAGAAATTATAAGACATGTTCACATCCCTTCTTGTCCATAATCTCAGAGATCAGTGTTTCTCTCCCTTCAACGTCCCCCACATTTTGGAAATCAAATTATCTGTGCATACCAAGAGTCAAGTGGGTGGGTTCCAGGCCCCTATTTTCAATAAATGTCAAAAAAAGTCACAGCTAAAGTCTGGGAATGGTCCTCCTAAATCAGGATTTAAATATTAAATCTGCAATTATATGAGAGGAAATAGGAAGAAAATTCAAGAAGAGCTTCAGGGGCTAACAGACCTAAATTTATGTCCATGGCTGACTGTGAGTCCTCACTTGAAATGGTTCCACATCCTGAAGAAGGGAGAAGGATATTTTTTTTTAAAGATAATACATCATATGTTAAGAGTGGTGCAAATAAAGTGCCCAGGGATTGATTAAATCGATTTGATAAAGGTGCAAAGTTATTGGAAAAATCCTGAAGATCACAAATGACAAAAATTCAAAAGATAACAGATTTCACAAAAAAGTGAATTTAAATCTGATTGTGGTTCTACTTCCTCCTCTACAACTCTTTTTTGGACTTCAGTATCAGAAAGTGATGGGAATGACTAAATAATATTCAAAAAGCACTGAAAGACTTTATCTAAGGAAGATTCTACCTCACCTCAGAGAGATTAAAACTTCTGTTTTACTTTCAAGGAAAGGCATAAAAGGAGTAGCTGTCATATACAGCCGAACTTCTTGTTAAAACCAGTTGCATTTGTTAAGCAGGCGCATGGAGTGCTATTGATTTTTTAATATTGAAGAAAATGTCCAAAGTTAGTTTCTTGGCTAGCAGCCTGCCCAGTTAACAAATTGCTCACCTGGATAATTTAAGAACCAACTTATATTAAATGCTTCGATCTCCAAGGGCACGGAAGGCCCTCAGCTTAAAACTGAGCATGGAAATCAAAGTCCTCCATAGCCAGGATGCAAGTTTGGAAAAAGAAGGGAGTTAATAAAAAGCTTAGGAGGAAGCTACCAGAAAGCTGTGCTCCTTGTGTAAGCAGCGAGGTGGAACAGTAAGGTTTAAAGGATGAAAATATCGTGTAATAATCACTTCCCTTGCTAGGGTTCTTCTGGCACAACCATCCGTACAATTAGGCTGGGAGGTAACACCACAGGCAGAGAGCTTCTGGGTTCTGATGTTATCACATTTTATGGGTGTGAAATTTGCTAATTTCACGGTTATGCCAAATACTAACTTCTTCCAGAAGGTTCATCATCTTGTTTAAGACAGGTAAAACGTACACGAATGTGATTTTCCACTCTTCTGAATTTATTTATTATTTACTTATATATACTGAGAAGCCTATTGTGAAGTCTCCACTTGTTCACAGCAGTCTGGTATTGAACATCGAGGGGGAATATGAAGAGAGCACCGCATATTTCTCCGTATCCTTCTTGCAGGGAAACTCTAGAAGAATTTCCAAAAGAGGATGAGTGAAGTTAAGAGGATTCTTTATCCATAGCTTCGGCAGTGATCAGCTCCATTCTTTAATTGAAACTGAAGTGAGCAGCTGTTAACTCCCCTCGCATTAAGCGCTAACACGTTACATTTATTGTACATTTATTGCAAACAATAAACAGTTGTCTCTGTTCGAGTTCCTGCAGTCAGCATCCCCCACAACACCTGGCTGCGATAGGCACACGGGCGAGCCCAGGCTGCCTCTTTCGAGGTGTCAGCCTTTATAAAAGTTGTATGAGCGTTTCTTCTCCTCCCAGAGAGAAGAGCCAGCCCCGTCTGCATGGAGCGTGTGCCGGAGCCTGTCTGCAAGGGAGGAGAGCGAGGGCACACTTTGATACCTGTTGGCAAGGCCAGCGGGTCTGTGCAGCGCCGCTAAATGCCAGCTTGGATGGATTCCACCCTGTTTAGTCTGCTGCTAAACGCGAACTCTGAATTGAGACAAATTCAAGACATGAGCGAAAGGCAGCGAACCGCAGAGGAATTCCTGCCTGCGTTAAGCAGTGTCACCTTCATGGCGGTAGGCAGAGCCTAAATAAGGATTTGAATTAATCTCTTTTCTATTAGCCACCTAGAAGCTGCCCCAGGCTGCTGGAGCCTCGCAGCGCCTCCCAGGCTGCCGAGCAGGGATGCTGGCTCCCGGCTGGGATGCTGCTACCCAGCAGATACCGGAGCCAGGCACAACAGAAGGATGTGTTCCTCCTCTGCCTTCCTCAAAGAGAAGATGAAGCGTTCAGTGGCACAGCAGCTTCAGGGGGCCACAGGCTCCTGCGTTTCTGCTCTGGGAGCCTTGGCAGCGAACGAGCGGCGGGGGCTAAAGGGGCTTTCTCCTGCTCCCAAGTTTCAGCCGGGAGCATCCTCTGTTTAGTCAGCCAAAGGATGGGAAGGAAAACAACTTGTGGGACAGGGATGACTCCTGGCTAGTTATGGCTACAGATTTATTCCCATCGCAGCTTTCAAGAGCTGTATTTCTGGGATGCTTCCCTCTCTCAGAGGAGGAAAGGAAGCTATGAAAACGTTCCTATTTATTTACTCACTTAGGGGGTGCAAAGCTTTGGGGGGAGGGAAGGTGATAATAAACCGGGGGGATTTTCCTCCCCCCCCCAAAGGTTCTTCCAGCCTCCTCCTCCCTCATTTACATATCTGGCTGGTGGGTGATTTTTATTCTCAGCACGAAAACTGCAATCTATTTCAATGCATGAATGCAGCCCTGCATCTATTCAACGCAGTGAAATAGCCCAGAGACTTATTGTACTAAATAAGAAAACAAGGAGAAGAAACGGGTTCGCCAGCCTTAGAAGCAACCCTCTGTGATCCAAAGTCTTCCCGATTCTTTAAAGGAGGGTTTGGGAAGGGAAGGGAAAAATAAACCTTCCCAAAAAAAGCACCAACAAGCGGGAAGACAAATACAATTACCACCACTTCTTCTCCCGAGAGAATAATAATGATAATAATAAAAAAAAAAAATACTAACAAGCATCCCACCACATTTTCATTATGGGCAATTTGAAAACATCCGACTTCATGAGGCAGCCCAGTTCAGTCTAATAGCGCACCTACGGACGGGGAAGGCGCTCGCCCAGCGCACCTTGCACGCACACAGAGCCCAAGTCAGGCAGAAAGCCACAGAGCCCTCTGCCAGCCAGCCGCAAATTGTCTGAATAAAATGAATACTCACTCTTTCAAGGAGCAAGGGAGCCGCTCGCCCACAGCCACTTCGCTCACGGATTGAAAGGGTGAGGTAAAAAACATCAGCCAGTGCCTGGGAACGGGCAGGGTGCTCCAGATTTTCTTCTCATGCTTTCCGAGGCTGCCGATGCTGGCGGAGCCGCCGCTCGCTGGGCTTGCCGGCTCCCTGTGCCTGCATGCCGGAGCGCAGTTATTAATTTCTCCCTTCGCACAAGCCGGCGGCAGGCGCACGTCTCCAGGAAAGCAGGGATATTCCAAATAAATCCGCTAATTCCGGGGCTGAGCCGTGCCCGCCCGCCTGCCAAACGGAACTGTGAAGCGATGTGGAAAAGTGAGCCGGGAGCCTCCCCTGACAGCTCTTATTGGGCCGATCTCGGAGGCAGGTCTAGCGCTGGGAAATTCGTGTAAGCACTTTGGGGTGGTGGTTTTCCCCCTCCCTCCGCCGCCCGCCTTCCCCCCGCCAGGCACACAACTTTAACTTTTCCAGGGGCGGCGGCGCCGCTCGCTCCCCGCGCTCCGGCCGCCAGCCCGGGCAGGGGCATCCCCTGCGGGAGCCAGCGGGACGGGGATGCGGGGATGCGGGGATGCGGGGGATGCGGGGGGTGCGGGGNTGTGCCCGGCAGGACCGGGACGTGCCCGGAGAGCCGGCGAGGAGGAGCCGCCGCTGTCCCCGTGCTTGGGGCGATGGCCGGCGGGAGAGGGACGCGGGCTGGATGCGGCAGCACCCCGAGGGGCCGAGGGCAGCCGCTCGTCTCCGAGGCACGGCGCTGCGGAGGGGGCCCGGGGACACGGAGGGCATCCTTTGGAAGGGCTGTTCCCGAGGCCGGTCGGGCCCGGCGCTGCCTCGCTGGCCCCAGGGCAGCCGCAGCCGCAGCGGGATGGAGGCAGCACCCGCAGTGAGCCCTTCACCCTCGCCCCGGCCCCAAATGCTCTCTGTGAGCGCAGCCCCGGCTGGAGGAGCGCTGGGTGCAGGCTCAGGGACAGCAGCACTGGCGGCTGACACCTGCCCTTGGCTTTACAGAGCTCGTCCCATCCCGGACAGACAGACAGCACCGCCAGCGAGGGACAGACCACTGCCATCCCCTGCCATCCTTCCTCATCCCCGGAGCCTTGCTCCTTCTCAGGTTGCGTGGATTTTCTGTTAGCTGGTTAAATGTATCATTTTCAATAACACATCGTGGCTCTGGATCTTGCCCGAGTTTGATGTTTGCCGAAAGGGAAGGGGTAAGAGCACAAGAAGGAGACATGGTCAGCTAGGGGCAGAGACTCTTAAAATGGAGGGCTGGTTCCACACTGAACTAGTGCTGTTGGAGAAGTTTAATTGCACTCAATTCCATCCTTCTCCAGCTCTCCTGACCAGTACGATGTTGTGGTTGAAATGAGCATGCTGTGGTTTTACATTAATGAAGCAGGTTCGTTGCTTAATTTTATTTTTAAAGGGCTGGTCATCTGAACCTCCTTCAGAGCCCCTGAAAACCTCTCCACCTTAAGCAAAAGATGACTACTCTGATCTACCCAGGATTGCAGAAAGTGGACCCTAATATTCTTTTATACAGTAAGAATGCCATATAATTTAGTTTCATGATTGTTAATCTCATTTTCCATGCTGACCCTACGAGCGCATGCACGTGTGTGAGACAGAGCATGAAACCCTCCATGTGTAGCTCTTACCTGCTCAACTTTATCTTAACTAAATGCAAGCTATTGCAGATAACAGGTGCATTTCTGCCTGCACAAATCCCCCTTCTGAAAAGTCTCAGACTCACGGGAATGTAGCAGAATGCACCTAGAATGTGCCATTTTTCAAGGTTAATGAAGAAACATCCAAGTATCGCTTTGTTTCTCTCAGCCCAAGCTCCTGCTTTCTGAGCTGAGCCTGGGAGGGTTCCTTGGAGGAGCATGGATATATAAACACACAATACTTGAAGCAGGCAGAGAGCCTTGAGGGAAATACAAAACATTTGGAAGTGCAGCAGATAAGATCAGAAATGTGGTTTCCTTTTACCTGGGGTTCTGCTGAGGCAGAGTATTTTTCTCCCCCACCCTTCCACCAACTGAACAACACAGTGAAAATACAGATCTTGTCACAAGGAAAGCGTGAGGATGCTCAGCCTGGCTTTACTCCTGGGAATTAATGCCAGTTTTCAAATTTTTTAAGGTTTCAGTAAGAGTGGTTGCACACCTGGTTTTAATTTCTATTGAAAACATCTGATGGAAGCAACCAAGAATAAAAAAATCTTCCTAATAAGAACCCTCGTGTCCTTGCTTTAAGTAGGCAGCACGGTTGTGTGTGAAAAGAAAGCTAATGGTAGAGGTTGTACCTGCAAGTGCAGCTTAAAAGTTTAGTTTTTTGTTTTGATTTCAACCTTTGACTTGTGCCATTTGTTCTACGTGACCTTTCTTGCAATTGGAAATTACCAGGGCAAAAGCTGTGCTCTTTCATCTTCAGGTTGTAGGAGAGGATGGTAAGTGTCTTGTTAAAATGGATTATGCCATCCATGGATTCCCCTGCTGGAAAGCCTTTCAGATCATGGAGTAAATCTTGACAGGAAGGAGAGTATAGATTAAAATTAATCTAAAAATAAGCTTGGAATAGCAAATGAACATTTGCAGCTTTCTGCATCCTATCCAGACAAAATGATTTAATGATATTTATCATAGGGAGATATATATACACACACACACTACTGCATAACACTGATGAATATGCTGGCTAGAAATTGTTTCCCCTTAAATAAATATTATAAGGAAGATTATTCCTCTATCTTCTAAATGGCCATTTCATTTTTTAAGCAAAAATCAGCTCTGACTCCAGTTGCAAAGGGATGAAGGTTTTAAGTTTAATGACTGTACTGAAGAAAGAAGTCATCTGCAAAATGCATATGATTGAATCCCATCCTGGATCAAACTAGAATGCAATTTTTCATATTGAATTTTGAGATTAGGGGAAAAAAAAAAACAAAACAACAACAAACCAGAATATTTACAAAATGTATTGGCTTGTGGTATGGGTTGGTTGTTTGGTTTGTTATTTCAGGGGTTTTTTTCTTGTTGGTTTTGTGGTAATTTTTTGGTTACTTTTTTTTTTTTGGTTGTGGTTTTGGGAGTTTTGTGTGTTTGTTTTTTCTTTTAGCTGGGTTTTAGTTTTTTTGGGGTTGTTTTTGGTTGGTTTTTTGACTGGTTGTGATGGAGAATTGGGAAAAAATTAACCTCAGCTTGGAAGAGGACCGGGAGATTTTCAGATTTTCTTCTATATTGCTTTTCTTTTATGAGCAAGAAGGATAAAAACCCCAATGTGACTTCCAATGCCTATACAGACAGGAAGTACCTGTCACCTAAAATATTTGGAATAATGGAGTTGCACCATCTTTCCTCACTTTCATGTGCCTGTGAAAACATTTGTTGATGACCACTTAATTCTTTGTTCCTCAGCAGTGCAATCAACTGTTTCCTGAACACAGAGACTTTGCTGCTTAAAAATATTCAGTAGAAGAGGCTTGAAATGAGCTCCTCAGGGGCAGCTCAGTCACAGCACAGCCTTGCCAGGGTTACTGTGGAGTCAGTGCTTGGGGTCATCCCAGTTAAATAACAATGCCAAAGTCAGGGCTTGAGAGGGGAAAAGAAACTACTGTGCTAATTCCTCATATTCACATTTTACTCCATCAGATCACCTACCAGTGAGATACTTCCCTCAAAGCATCAGCAGCTGATTTCAGTTTTTAATACGTAAAATGGGGCCTGATCCAAAATTACATGCAATTAATGAGTCCAGAGTGAATTGCTTGATCAAGATAAATGACTTTACTGCGAGCTACTTTTGCTTACAGGGATTGCCACTAAAGTGCCACTTCAAAGTAGTAAGAAATTAATAACTGATTTGAATGTTCCTAAAGCAAGTTTATAGACTAGTGGTGTCACCTGCCATTGTTGCATTAAAGCTTTAAACACATTAAATGCTGCTTTTTCTTAGGCAATACCCACTCTACAAGATTGGCACCTCTTGCTCGGATTACATGAGGGATTCTCCCTTAATTTAATTTGCTTTGTATGGTAGAATTGACATTCCATAAAATAAAAAGAAACAAGAAAGTTTATCTTAAGTCCAGAACATTTCTGAATAAAATATGCACTTTTATCAGCTCCCTGTGTCAGCACACAGACATAATTACCTTTAGAACATAGGTTCTTATCACTGTCTTGCAACCTTTAAAACCTGCTTGCATACAGTTATCACAACTTGGTTATCAGGAAAAATAATGATCTCCTGTGTTTGGGAAGTCACTGAAGACATCAGTAACTTGAAAAAAAAATCCATTATATCATGCTTACAAGTGATCCTATAGATTAAAACAAGGGAAGTGATACGAGCAGCCTCTGAGATAAAGGTACAGGGTTGGGGTAGGTTTGGTTTCCATTTTTTTCCTCTGAAAGAAATTCATGTTTACACTTTAACAGGCAAGGCTAAAAACCCTGAGAGACTTGAGTGAAGGATTTGCAGAGGAATGCCAGATTCCTTCAGAGATCACACATGGTTAAAATTCAATATCCAGCACTGGAACAGAAAGCTTGGAAAGCCTCACTGAAGAAAGAGCAGCAGCAGCAGCCATAAGTGACAGAAGTGGTTCTCAACCACCCAAAAATCTTTGCTTTTGAGTCTGGGCCTTCTGGGGACGGCATTAATTCAACTCCATTCCCTTGTTACTTGAGATGTGAGGAGGAACAGATGCTTTGATTTTGAAGTTACTGTAGCTTTGACTGGACAAACATATTCCTATAACCATTCAAATTCCTCCTCCAGCCCAAGGAAAAGTCTGTTCTGTCAGACAGAAACAAAAGTTTAACCCAGCAGCAGCCCTGGGCTTGAGGGCCCTTAGCATATCCTTTCCCATCCCCAAACACTTCATTTAGCACTATAAAACACAACTAGCCCTGAGCTGCTTCCACTCTCTAGAGATTATAAAATATAAACCCCCCAACTACTAATTTGTGTACCTTTTGCACCAGTGATATTATGGAGTGCATAAAAACAACAATGCATTATCAGATTTTATTATTCCTCAGGCACTGTTTGCAATTTTGACTAGTTGCTGTCAGGTTGGCTGTTATAAAAACAATTATTCCTTTTGTACCTCAAACACCAGGAGAAAGACAAAAGAAAATTACATCCAGCAAGGCATTCAACCTTTTTTTTTTTCTTTTTTGTACATTAATGTACAGAAGTTGTACAGGATGCAATTTGGGAAGTTAATATTTCACTGTGGGTTTTCACTCTGCCTTGTGAGCATCAGGAGCAGGATCGGTCGCAGGAGCTGTGCAAATATTGTTTGCTCTACCTCAAGTGCCCTCTAGTGTGCAGTAATTAAGTAGGTTAAAATAATTTTTTTCTCCTTTTTTTTTCCTAACAGCTACTCTCCTAAATCCCAAAGTAATATGTAACACTGCTTTTCTTCGAGAGGAAAGAGAAATTCAATGTTCACTGCCTTAATTGTGTGGCTAGAAATGAATTATCTCCTCCATGAAAAATCAAATCACCCCTGTTGCTGTCTGATTTTATTCACACAGGTATAAGTTAAAGCCCAATAATTTTTTTGGGCATTGTGCAAATGTCAAAGTACAAACAGTTTTTGGTGTTACCAGAACCAAAACAACAATTTTCTCTCTGCAAAAGGAAATTTTGTTGATATTCATCAACAAAACCCTAATTATGCTTCTAGGGTCTAAAAAAAAAATACTCTTTGTCTACAGTTTAGAAAACAGGCAAATCTACATGAATATAATAAATATAATAATGACTGGAGCACACTTGGAACCAGTTTTGTGTGTTCTCATCTGCCCTGTAATGCTGATGTTCTCCCTCAAAATTCTGGCATCACCTGGCTGGACAAATCCAGTTGTGTCTGTCAGTGAGAGCAGGAGAAGTGAGAAGATGTTGGGAGATCAAAGTGTGGAGAGGTAAAATTACCAGCTGCAGCTCCAAGAACAAAAAATGAAAACTCGTGAGGAAGGGTATCTGCAAGAGGGAGTTTAACTTACCAATAACTTTCAATAGTAAGATTAAATAAGTTTAACTTATTTGAGTTTGTTTCTCAGGGCTCCCCTGCATTTAAAAAGCAGGCTTAACACTTGAGTTCCCCACATAACTTTCTCCACTGCACAAATGAGTTCATTTTGGGGGGAACTATTGAAGAGTTTTTTCCCCATTCCTCATTTCACTGTGGCCTGACCTCAAAGCCAAGTATTCACTTTCAGGCAGGATTTACCATAAAATTCCAAGATAATAGCGAGCCTAAGCATACTCAAAACAGATTTTTAATGGACTTCTGAAAGCTGAGGTAAGAGGGATGGGTGAATCCCAGGAGAGATGAAATGGTTGCCTATAATAGGGATATGCTACACAAGGTGAGAGAATTGAATCTTTTATGAGTTGTAAAATCAGTTGGACTTCCTATAAGTGGAAAGAGACATCATCAGTACCTCTGAGCTGGGCTGTGGTGGCAGAGTTGTGGTTTCCAAGTGAGGTGCTGAGAGAAGCCCACAGGATTGTTTCCCGTTTGCCAGCTTGGCTCTGCTGAAGGTTAATTTTTGCACCTTGACTGTTCCTCCTGCATTCTGAAGAGAACACACAGTTCTGGTGCAGTTTAACATCCATAGGAGGCAAACAGGACAGAAAAAGCACCACACCTTGCCAATACATGGTTTTCTAACACATAATGCCCTGTTTTGACAGCCACTCTGCACCCAGGCACCGTGCTGCCAGTATCACAACAACGAGAGTTATTCCAGAAACAACGCTGGAATAGGTGCTCTCATCATTTAGAGCTAAAGTACATCAGGGTTAGACAGATCTTGGCAGTGATCTGGGCAAATAAACTGCCTTCATTTCCATCAGAGTAACCTTCCCCAGGTGTGTTCAGCCCCCATCACTGCAGGGATGAGTGAGCTGTACTCTCAGCAGCAGAAATAAACCTGCTCTGGGCATCAGGAGAGCAGCACGAGAGGGAAAAGGCAGCCAGTGGCAAGGGCAGCTTCATGCTGTAAAATGGATACCCTAAAAACAGCCAGCATTCTGTCACCTATGTCCTGAGGATAATAATTTAGCCCAGTTCTTGATGGAGAGCCTTCCTTACCTGCAGGAGAAGCAGCAGATCTTGGGTCCATGAGGTGACAAGTACAGCAGGCAAACATTCCAAAGGGAGCCGTGGTTACTCATGGGAGGGAAAGTAGCACAAGCCCAAGTTTCAGCATGGGCCACCCAAAGAAACTCGCCAAAAAGTACTTTTGGACACCTCATAACCCAAATCTAATAGCAGCACAAGCTGAAATTTGGCTGCTAGCTCAAATGGTGTTTGTTTTTCCATTCTGAGTGCAGTGACAGGAGTTTATGCTTATTTCAAAGTACTTTTCTCTAGAGAGTTCTGCTTTGTTTCTTTATTTAATTAAGAAGGTAAGTCAACATATTGCCCATAAAGTGATTTTTTCAGCAGCTGCTGACGTTGTAGTTTGGCAGACTGATCTTAAAAAAAATCGTAGTGCTGTGGTAAAATAAAGCATCCATTTCCCCTAAAAATATTTCTGGTGCATATGTAAGAAATACTGCTAATGAAGGAGAGTATCAATCATTTAAATGCACAGGACTCTGTGCTGAAGGACTTTCCTTCTCCATAAGGAGCTAAACAGGCAGAGCATATAGAGGGAGGATTATGTTATTCAAAACAACTGCTTTTAATGCCAATAATTTAATGAGTCAAGTAAATACCACCTGAAATATATTCTAAATTCATTTGCCAATGCTGATAGGTGTTTTTTATTGTCAAATGCAGTAAAATCAAGTGAATAACTGAGACTGAGATGATGCAAATAATGTCCCCCAGAGGAGACAACATGGAAATGATGTGACTGATCCCCAGCTCGGTGATCCTCAGCTTCTTTGCAAGCCTTTAAAAGTGAAGAGAGAATAGTGAAAGGTGTGTTTTCCATGGATCATTCAAGTCAAAGAAGCCAGCTCTGGAACAACTGGAGGAATAGCAGGGCCTGACTCACTGCTGTGCTAATTTCACTAATTCCAGTTTAACACCAGAATAACACCATGGCAAAACATGACCTATATTTTTATTTAAATTAAAATATCTAATATTCATCAAATATTTATAAGAATATATAACAAATAATTGTGGCAAACATTGCATAATAAAGATGAAAAGGAAATTAACCTTGTGAATTTTTAAACTGAAGAATAAAGACCATTACATTAATAAGACTTAATTATATCATTAAATATTTAAAATTATGTCCTCTAATAAATGTTTTTATTTAACATATTTCTTTTTTATCTATTACATTAGTAAAATGCCTTTAAGATACAGAAAAAAAAAGAAAAGAAGGGGTTTTTGTTGTTTTTTTTTTAATAGCCATGCAAATACAATGAAAGTGAGAAAGGAGCCATGTTACCTCTTCAACTCAAGGTCAGCTCTCAGGAGAGAACAATCTGTGCTTCCACAAGCCTCAGCTCCCTGCTTGGATGGGCTGGTGAGGGGCTGTGTCTTTGCTAAGCATTTTTCTTCAATTATTCTCTTCTTTTTTAGGTCCAGCTTGGCTCTCTCTGTGCTGATGAAGTTGAGTTAATCCAGCACAAATAAACCTCATCTCTGTCCATGTAAAGGATTGGGGGGTACAAGCTTTGCAAGGGGACCAATCCCCCCCTCATCCTTCTGGAGATGCCACAGATCCTGTTCTCAATGTTCATTCAGCTCACCTCATCTCCCTAAAGTTTTCTAATTACTTTACAAACAGCAGAAAAGTTAAAGCAAAAAGTTCCTGAATCAACCCAAATTCAGCCCACAACCTTGCACTCCTACCAGAAAGAAGTTTCTTTTTATAGCACACCTCCAAAACTTTTAACATTCCCCTTTAGTTATGGCACTTCAAGTCAGCATTTCTGTTTCTTCAGTGTTCCAGCCACCCTTTCTGCCTTGGCTGTGCACACAAACCCCACAGCCAGGGCATCTGCCTGTCTCAGCTTTCCCCTGAAAACCCAGGCTTTGCGTGCTCTAGCAGAAACACTGATTAAAATCAAATGGCAAACAGTGACAAATCAAATCTAACTCATCAGCATTTCAGATTTATCAGAGGCTACAGTTTAACGATGCTTTAGTGGAAATTCTCTTCATTTGCAAGCACACAAAATTCTGAGGCCCTCTCTGCTTAGTGACTGTGCTTTTTGCAGTTAAACCATTCTGTTTACCACAGTAATACTTACTCTGATCTAAATTCCCACAAGTTTTTGTTTATTTTTGTAATACTCTTCTGACTTCTGTAGATTATGTGTTTTGTTGCTATGATTGTCTTCCTGCTGTCCCTCAGCATTTCCCTCTCCTGTATCCATCATCACCCATCCTGTAATTACAGAAATGTTATTTTTTGATAGACAGATGCATAGGGTTGCTGGCAGGAGTACTGCCATTATGCAATCCAAATACTGTGCAGAATTTTAAAGAATCATACAAATCAGATCTTAGTGAAAGAACAATCTTGTGAATTATCAAAAAAGTTTGAACTAAGTCTGGTTTGCTTGTTTACACATGGGATAGCTCACCTCAAAGTAGGTAACATTTATTTATACATGGCAGCTAGGGCTGCACAGGAGATGGAGTCTTCTAATTAACACTCCTGATGCTGCAAACATAAACAGGGATAAACACATATTCCATTAGGTGTAGCTGCCACTCACATTGCCACAGTATCCTTTTCTTTTCACTGCACAGCTAAAACAATGCTACAAAGCAAACAAGCACTGAGCTTTCACTTCAGTACCTGCCTGATAATGTCATACCTTATCTCCAGGAGATTGTTTATTTGGAAAAGTTACCAAAAAACAAACAAACAAACAAACAGCATTGTCATATTCTATCACTTCACTTAACTAAGGCTCAAGAGGCTGTAGAAATAGCATGATACTTCCGCTAGGGTTGTGTTTCACTGTGCTTTAAAGTTTCCACAAATAAGAAACCTGTTTCTGCCTGGGAAGGTACAGAACAGTGAAAAGTGACACCGTGCTCACAAATAAAAAGCTTAATCTGCAGAACAAATGAGGAATAAAATGGATACCGTGGCTCCAAAGGGCTCACCACTGAAATGTGGGGTAAAGCAGCCTGCCTAGGCACAGGTACAGCCCAGCAAGGTGAAGGGAATGTGGGAGACTCCAACCACTTCCAGCTGTGCCCCCACCAAGATTCCAGCTGGGTGTGCTTCAGGGATCTACCTCAGCACGTTCTGGAAGGGCCCCCACCTCATCCTCTGCGTGTTTGGGCTGACAGGGAAAAGGTGAAGATGTGCCAGCAGAGACAGGAGGGCTGGAACCACCCAGCTGAGGAAGCTTTCCCATGGCAATTCTGCCTTGCCTTTTCACTTCAGGGTGACTCCCAGCACCATTCCCAGGCTCTGTCCTCCCAAGCACAGACTCCCAAACCATACCCACATGCACAGAGGGCTCAGTGGGAGGTCTGCAAGCCTTCCTTCTTGAAAAGCAGGTGTCTGCTGTCACTGGGACTGAGACAGGGGTTATCATTTCCCTTGTAGTTGAGCCCAGATGTGCTTGGCCAGGTGTAGGACCTTCACACAAAGCTCTCTGAAAGTGCCTTCACACAGACTTCCAGTCTCCACCCCACAGTTCACTGCACACCCTTACCCTGAGTTATCTCATATATAATTTAAATGTTTAATGTAAAGTAAAGCTAATGTTAACAATACATATTTTTGAAGACTGACAGTATAATGCTTTATTTCCTAAAGGAATAACTGGAGTGATCCATAAGCAAATAGAAAGCCAAGTAACACTGCCTGAACAGACATAATTTGTGTTCATCCTTGAGAAACCTTAAAGTGCATACATCCCTTTCCTCCTTCTCAGCTAGGCAAGGTGGGATTGACTGTGGTTTTCTTTCAGATGAGGCATGAAAAGCTGCAGTGCACTTTGTTCTGCACTGGCATTAATGATATCTTTAGAAGTGAGATGTCTTTGATATCTATTGTGTGCTGCTGACTGATGGCTCTTTCCAGCCTGGAAAGGTACCTTGTCTTAGCAGCTTTGTGTGGGCTGAGAGTGGAGGCCACAAGAATATTTTGAAGTTGAGGAATTTTAAATTAATATAAAGTACCATATCATTAAAGCTGAGATAGTAATACCCTTCTAAATTCACCCTAAAACTTTCTTTGTCCATTCAGGAAATTATTAGATACTATCCTATCTTTGTTCTGGATATTCTTTATTGCTGTTCATTCTCAGAGGCAGTGGATGAGAATCCCCACCAGCAAGAGCAGGGGCAGCACAGTCACTGTCCTTGTGCTCAGTCTCTTGCTGCAAGCCCCCCCTCACACACACACTGCCATAATAAAACACTCAGAAGCAGCACTTCTGGTAATTGTCTGACTAATATCTACATTATCAGGAAGCGTTATCTTTCACATACAACAAATGGAGATGGTGCTAACATCAGCACTGAAAATAAGGATTAGAGAGGTGGAACTAACCATCAAAGACAAAAATGAACTTTAAAGGTTATTTTATGGCACATCTTTTTCTTAACTCGTGTTATAACCTGCTGTCTATGTTAAGGAAGCATTAAATAAACAGCAACTTGTAAAATGATATTTTCTTATTTCTTTGACTGTACTGGTAATACTTAAAATAATTTTGCTTGAGAGAAGACCCACATTCTGCTCCTAGATTTTAATTATGCCATCTGAAGTGAGCAGTGGGTAAGAGCATGAAAGACTGGAGACCAAGAGAAAAAGATTGGCTGGGGCAGGAAATCAGATGGTTGTTTGGAAGTGCAAACTCGGAGCAGCGCGGCTGGTGAGTGATCAATGCAATGTCTGGGAGGAGCTGTTTGCTCTGCAGAGCCACTTCTGCTCTGGCACTGAGCATCACTCACCTGGGCAGGCTCAGCAGGAGCCAGTTCTGGCTGCTGGCTGCAGTCCTGGGCTGGGGAGAGGCTCCTGACACCAGCAGGACAGCGTGGGGAACAACCGGGGCTGCTGCCCACGCCAGACCTGCTCTAAGAATAGACAGCCTCATCCTCTAGGATTGTCAATCTGTCACCCAGGAAAAAATAGAAAGGAAAATTAAAAGGTTATGATGTTATCGTCTCCAAAAATAGGATTTCAGTCATCCTGGAGAAGTGCTGTGCTGTGATATTTTCACCCAGGTTCTGCTGACATCTCCCAGCTGTCACCAGCACTGAGCCTCCTTTTGGGACTGCTAAAGGTCACGGAGCAGCGGGGACGTGGAGGGAGACCTCCACTCGGGTGACCACAGGAAAATGTTCTCAGGATTACTCTGAAGTAGAAAGAATTGAATCAGTTTGTCTGTGTTTCTCTTTGCTGGTGCTGACAACACCCAGAACAGTAGTGCCTTCTGCTCTTCAACACTGCCTCAAGTCCACCAAAGACCAAAGGTTAGTTCCTTAAAAAGGAGCTGCTGCCTGAGCCAGTAGCCTGTTTTTCTTATATTTCAGAGCTAACATAGAAAACAAAGGATCACAGCATGCAAAAGCAGAGGAGACTAGTGGAAAACAGTCTAAGAATAAAAGGAAAACAACCAGTAAGTCTCAAATGTTACCTTTGAGAATGAAGAGAAACTCCTGAAAGCTACTATCCGCTTTACTTGGAAAGACAGACTCCAGCTGAGTCTATTGGAAGAAAATTCTCTGCTCTGAAAGCAAAGTGAGAGACTAATTCAGTTCCCAGGCCCAGCAGAGGGTGGCAGGGGTGGGTGAGGTGCCACACGAAACAGCGCTTGGGAGGGTCAAGCCTCTGGCACTCTGGCATTTGAGATTCAGTCTCTCTATAGATTAGGATTGATCTCCCCTGTCTCTGGATAAAAAAATAAACAAACTGTAACCTTGAAATTGTCATCCAAACCTGGAGTCCAGCCAAAAGAGCAGAGACAAAATCCCCTTGAGAAGCAGAACAGCAGCCCCAGAGGTCACTATCGATGCGTCAAACAGAAACAGTGGATTTTGATGCTGCAAGGACTTAAATAATTCCATTTTTATTCAAAAACTGAAAGTGTAATCATATTTTTTTTTCCCCCTGAAGTGCACAATTGCATCCATTTCCATTTAAAGACAGATACTCAGAGGATACCTTGAATATTCTCTCAGAATACTCAGAGGATACCTTGAATATTCTCTCAGAAGAATATTCTGAAATATTCTGAATATATCTGAAAGAAGTGAAAGAAGTGCAGTTAGAGAAGACAACGTTCTCCTCCATGGCAAGAGGATGGTGTTTTACTGCCCTCTTTGTTATTTTGGAGAACAGAGGGAGTTACCAGCCTCTTCCAAGCTGTAAGGAGTAACAGAGGGAGTTACCAGCCTCTTCCAAGCTGTAAGGAGTGAGCAAAGCATATCTGAGCTAGGAATGGTTCCAGTTAACTCTCCAGAAGGAGGGATTGCAAGTGGACAAGCTCTTCTGATCCACTGAAAACAAAGGGATTTGTTGTGTTGTTTTGGGATTTTTTTGCTTTAGATGAGGCCATCTTCAAATGAATAAAGAATTCAGGCATGCTGTAGGCTCTGTTTCCACAATAGCCTAAAACTCTGCTTCAGATTCACTGAAAGTGAGGAGAGCAAAGCCCACAGAATGACATTTCAAATGTTTGCACTTAAATGTAGCTCATGGCAACGTGTGCATCCAATTTGATCACTTTTAATGGGACAACACCCAGCAGGCTCCAAGCAAACATGCAGCTGCACAGAAAAAACACCCTCAGTTCTCAGTGGTCACCCAAACCTAAAACCCCAGACTTTTGAACTTTGATCCTGGAGACTATCAGTGTAAAAACAACAACCAAACAACAACAACAAGAAACCCCACATGCAAAAGTCCCCCCAAAACACCCCAGGAAAGCACATGGGAAACCATGCAATGGTTTAAACCATGCAAATGTTGACAAAATAGCTGCAAAAAAGCAAAGTAGGAGGCCCTCAAAGATTCAGCACTATATAAATAGGAATAAACAGAGGCAAGCAGGTGTTTTGAAGGGAGGTGGAGGGAATGTGATTGTTCTGTCCCTGGCTGTGTTGGTTACACTGTGCACCTACCAGGAATACATTTTATTATCTAATATTTATCACTTTTGACGGTCACAGGTGTTCCTACTTCAAAAAGATTTTAGCAAATGCCCCTAACTGTGTGACATCTGGATACTGTCATCACTGTAACAAGAGGTAACTTTTGCCACCAGGCTCTGCTCTGGCAGATGTGGTTTTAGTGCCACTGTTCATTTCCTTCCCTGTTAAAATGCAAAACATTAGCTTTTACTCACAAACAGACATAGCCTGTTCTAGTCTGCAGTGTGAAGTCAGATCCTTTTATACTCTTAGTCCACCAAGAAACACATGAAATAGAAAAATGTCTCACTTGCTAGGATACTGTGTTAGATTCTCGAGTAATATAAACTACAGACCATGAAATTATCAGGATCATGAATCCCTCCCCACCCTCACAGGGAAGAATTCCTTCCCACTATGCAACCTAACCCCAAAACTGTGCTTTGGCAGTGAGAAGCCATTCCCCTTGTCCTGTTACTCCATCCCTTGTCAATTGTCTCTCTCCATCTTTCTTGTAGGTTCTTCAGGGACCACAATGAAGAAACCACCTCTTCTCCAGGCTGAATTGATAATTTTCATTAAATATTTTTAATGTTGTGAAGAATATTTAATTAAAAAAAATAAAAAAACCAAAACAAATAAACAAAAAAACCAACACACACAGGAAGGAAATGGAAAGTTTTCTGTAAACCTGCAAAGGGAAAAAGCTGTTTTAAAGTAAGCTTAAAACAATTTGCATGAAATATTTTTCACAAAAGCCTTCCAAAAAATTAAAATCTTTGGAAACCTATTGTTCTTGGAACCCCATATGTAGCTGAGTGAAATTAACCTATTGGTAAATGCCAAAGATTATCAGTTCCATTCAGCTGCTCAGGCACTCGGCAGAGCCAGGGGAGCCGTGCCCTGGGGACCAAGTGTCTTTTTATCTCTTACAAAAGACAAAACTACACAAACAGAATCTAAAAACCTATAGCAAAAAACCCAATTATCTGTGCTGGATGACTGTCACGTTGGGAACAGTGCTGTGGGTTTCTATTAACTGCAGAGAACAAGTTTATGATTGGTGCAACCCACCACAGATCTCAACAATCCAGCTCGAGTAAAGAACAAAAGGATTTTGGATGCAGAGGAAAATTATAGGGCATTTAATGAAGCAAAATGCTACAGTTTGTGTAATATTGAAGATGGACATGAACTTGAACAGAGACATTTTTTGAAAGTGTGAACACCAAGAATGCAAAGAAATACCAGAGGTCTAGGAAAATTCCAGTTTTATGTAGTGTATTAATACCAATCTGTGTCAGATTAGACAGCCTGCAGTGACACAGATAGAAATTCCATTCTCTGATCTGAGGGGTTTTTTGCATATTAAATGATATAAAGCATTCTACACCTATGTCCAATTCTGCAGGAAATTAAAGCCTATGATTATTACTTGTCTAACAGCATCAATGTAATAAATTAATGGCTTTGAATAATGGCCAGCAGGCTTCTCAGCCATATTTCAAACTTTTAGAAAATAATCCATTTTTGGCAGATCATCTGACAAGTTCACAACTTTAGATCAAGGCTTATATTATGTGTCATCAATATTCTTTTGTTCATCTCATACCTATCAATTTTTGTTCATCAAAACCCAGGGCTGTTTAAAACGTGGAAGAAATTTGGCATGTTATGTGGGTCATTTATGGAAATCAAGAACATGATTTAACATTAATATACATAAAAATGACTAGAAATTATGCACCACAAATCCAGATCAGCTTGTGGCTTTTTAAACTCCATTGTATAATATAAAGCATTTTCTCTGTGAGGGACAGAAAAATTCAGATGGAAAAAAAATAATTACCAGATAGAAATCTTAGCTTAGTTGAAGCTATGTCATATATTAATGTTATTCTCAACACTGCAGGACATTGGTAAATAAGACTTACATCTCTGAATGTTAATTTTTAAAAGGAAAAACTAGCACCTCTCCTTCAAATGCAAACTAACTCACATGGGTTTGTGAATTCAGGGAAAATTTACTGCAGAGCTATAGCACCACCACATATGGGAAGATCCTTGCTTTTAAAAAGGAGGAAGCAAAGAACAGGTATTACATTGATTGAAAAGAAATATAAACACCAGAGACAGTCCCTTGCATTATCTGTGACCAGCTGAAGAGAAGACATGTGGAAAATAAATGTTTTCCACTGAAATTAGAATCATGGAACCTCAGAATGGTTTGGAAGGGACCTTAAAGCCCACCCCAGCCATGGCAGGGCCAGCTCCCAGTGTCCCAGGGGATCCAGGGGCAGCCCCAGCTGCTCTGGGCACCCTGTGCCAGGGCCTGCCCACCCTGCCAGGGAACAATTCCTGCCCAAGATCCCATGTAACCTTGTTCTCTTCTCCCCAGAGCTGTTCTCAACAATGTCTTCACCCCACCTGTAGATGTGCCTTTGATATTTGCTACAGAAAATATCAGTTT